AAAGAGTGGGTATCTGGAAATAAATGGACTTTTTTTCGTGGCCTCCCTCTTCTGCAAGGCTATACAGGGCTCCAGCTTATCAAGCTATGCCCTTTTGAGTTTGTCCTATTGACCTTTGAGGGTCAATGTCTCAATCTTTGCACCAAGGTCTCCAAAAACCGTATGCTTATCTGGCATATCTGGACAATGTGAGGAGTAAGGGTGAACTTGGAATCAGTCCCTGCCCTGAGTTATAACAGGCTGTATAAGAAATATCTAATTTCAGAAGAGCTCTAGTCCTGCTCTACATGCATCTATCACTCACTTTGATTCCGTCTAAGTTAACCATAACTTGGCAATTAACGCTTTAATAATTTCTTCCAGAGTTGCTTCCCTGAAAAATTAGCAAGTGCAAAAAACAATGAGGTATGTTAGGGGTAGCTAAAGTCAGTTTATCAAAGCCATAGTTTGATCCGTACGAGCAAGTCAAATTGCTTATTCTAAGGAGGTGATTAGGAAATATGAATTTGTATACCTGCAGCTCCATTGATCCTAAATTTGAATCATTAACCCTTCCTTTCATATCATTAGGTATAATAATTATCTGTGGTCTTGGGTCAGAATTGCTGCCTTTTTGACAGAAAAGCAACTTGGTGACCTTAGCTAGAGCAGAGTTGCCATTTGCTGTAATCGGTATGTTTGGAATTAAAAGTGATACCCCCATTTTACATGATGCATGCATTAGATTTGCCTTTTACAAATGTAGAAAAAAACCAACCTGTCAGTGATTATACCTAGGTTTATGAGAGTTCTGTGTATCACAGTATTCTCCATAAAGCAATGATTCGGGAAAGCACCAAAGAACATCTGGAATGTGTCTGGTGCCTGTGTTTTCTATTGTGATTTCATCATGTTGCTTCTGTAGGAATGCAGCAGAATAATAGCTGAGAGAAGTTTGTTGAATAAGATGTTAAAATCCTGGATGTGAACATGTGCTCAGTGTTTTTATGGATGAAAATAATGCTTTTGTAGGTATAAAATTTCACTGTACAACTCTTTTCCTGAAATCTTCCTTCAAGTTATTAAAATATTTTTTTATGAATGGAAGAAGAACAAAAACTGTAGGTCCTAGTTTGGATGCAATATTAATTTTGTGAAGTGAGATTTGGAATCTGCAGCTGAGTATAGATTATACATTTCCATTTCCTCAAATGTTAATGATAATTCTTAGAAGTGCAATCTTAATATTGCCCTGTATTTACATTGCACTTTGACATAATGCAGCCATATTTTTATGCTAGTGGTTCTTTTACCTCTTAAAGGTATTAGAAGGTCGGGCTACAAAGGTACTGTCAGTGCATCTGATAAAAAGTGATCAAAAGAAACAGTAAGCATTGCAGTGAGAAAGTGATACAACGTACAGTGCAGATACCCAGTGAAATAATGGTATCTTTACATTGTTAAGTTACAGCATTATTCTTACCATTAAGCAAGAGATGATCTGGCCAATTTAATGAATCGTTTCAATGGTTTCATGATGAGCTAGATCTAGTTTTTATTTTGCGTTTGCTTTGGGCCAAAATTTGCCTTGAATGGTTATATTTTCAGCTAGAGGAAGGTAATCAGGGCTTAAAAGATACAATTGATATGGAACAATCAGTGTGACCAAAAGCTATACGAGTGTATAACCATTCTGTCACCAAATGGGATTAAGATCTGTGACTGACTCTGAATAAATCTAGTTTTATCACAAATTCCTATTCTGAGAGAAAAATAATTGTTAGCCTATGAGCATAGGTATCAATATAATAACACATATTCATTAAAATATAAATAAATGTGATGAAACCACTGAAGAACATATGGGCAATACTGGGCCCGGGAGTTAGGTGTCACTCCTTTAGGTGTATTCAGAAAGATTGTGTGCATCATTTCTGTGTTCAGCAAAAATTATGTTAATTGATAGTACCTATAATAAATTTGTAAACCTATATTAGAATTTTTCTAATGAGAATTTCTATACAACATTTTAATTAGTTTAAAGATGGAAAGATGGATAGAATCCTTGGATTATTTTATCTTCTATGTATCGCAGGTTCTTAGATTGTTTTGTGTGCCAGAGACTTTAGTTAGACAGAAATGTTTTAGACTTCAGAGTGACAGTAAGCTGTCCTGTGCCACAGAGAGCAGCGAAGGCAAAGCCTAAGTGCTCAGTGATAATAAGAAATTGACTTGATATGATCTGTTCTGATGATTCTAGCTACTGATCCCTGTACGTGCTGCAGGGGAAGATGGAATAAGCCACTCTGTCAATATGACTCAGAGTATTCCCTCCCGACAGCAAATCTGATTACCAGTTTAATCCTGAGTTTGCAAGCAGCCATATAAAGTAGAAAACTCTCTGTGTTGGATATGAGCACTAACTCCATGTAGACCATCCTGCTCAGTGTCTTGTCTCCAGATGTGTGCGTCTTTCATGCTTCAGAGGGTGACTGGATTTGAGGACAATGCTGAGAACACATCCTTGCAGACAGAGAAACTAGCAGGAATCATTAAGTAGACATTTGCTAGTATCTTGCAAATAGTCTATTCTAGTATGTAAACTGTTCTAGTACGTTGTGGTCGAATATATCACTTGGGATTTTTTAAAGCATACGAGTGAATTAGAATTCCAACTGTCGTAAGTCATCAGTAGGATTAGTGCTTGTAATTCCTTCAGATTCTTTGGAAAAAGTCACACATGCACCAATCATGAGATTCTCATTTAGACTTTTTAGTCATTTACTTTTTGGGTAACCGCTCAAGTGTATAAATATGTGCAGAGTTGGGGGCTTAGATAGCAAACACTGAGAGGCAGGAAGTTCATTATTTGATTTTCTGGAAAGTACTTAATAGTTATGACTTTCTATAAAAAATAACGGTGGCTAATAGATATAGGGTGGTGAAGTTTCATAACTGACATGACCATAACAGAATAAATAACAGAATGGCAATCTTTGTTTTCTTAATAATGTAAACCCCAGCAAGTGAAATGAAAATTGCACTATTTGACAGTTTTATTTAGTTGAAAGCCTGTAAGTCTTCAGCAGAAATCAAATCTAAAGTGGCACAATGGCCATTACAATGTGATAACTTGCTGTGAGAATTACTGTTTCTTTAAAGAGTAATTCAGTTTTAATAGTAACAGTAAATTTATTAAATTAGTAGTAAACAGTAAAATTATTCTAATAGTAGTACTATTATAGCTGTAAAAGTCTGAATAGAAGCATGATCTGAAGAAGATCTTAAATATCTGAAAATTTGTCTGCTTTCCCCAAGCAATTCCTGTAGCTTTTTTAGCTTTCATAATTTGCTTAAAACAGCTTGAATTTATTGGTGGTTTGTTATTATACATTTTCAGGTTCTTTGCTAATGTGGATTAATTAAAGTGGAAGGATCTCATACATACAAGACTACTGTAGTCCAATTCTGAAGTTTGTGCATGAGAATATATCAGCAATTTAAGATGAGGATTTTGAGGTGCTCATATAGGCATTTGAATAAAGCAACAAGATGTAAAGAAATATTCAGTATCCAGTAGCGTTCACAGAGAACAGTGTATTATAGACAGCTTTTTTAAAAACATAGCTACTACATAAGATGCCTTAAAGGAATTTGTGTGTTTTAGAAGATGTCCTGACCCTGGTTAAGAGTACTGAGCTCTTAATTTTTGTTCTGTTATTGCCTAAGATATAGTAACTTTGTGCTTGACTTACGTATTTTATTTTGTTTCTTAACCGTGCAGCACTGCCGCCATGGAATTTGTGTGAGCAGAGAAATGGAGACACGTCCTGTAGATGGAGAATGGGGACCTTGGGGACCTTATAGCTCGTGTTCAAGAACCTGTGGAGGTGGAATTAAGAGCACCAGCAGGCTATGTAGTAGACCGGAGTATGTTTTTTATTGCTGTGTTTTATGCTAGTGCATAATGAAGGTATTACAATTTAATGGGTTAGTTCAGAACAAAATGAAGGTATTATGGTTGCATAAATTAGTCTGAAGCACCAATAAAATAAATGATTGTTTCAGTCATATCTGAAAACAAGGATAAGTCTATAGACTCTAATACGCAGAGGACTTTTAGATTACTTTGTCTCAGCTGTACCGTACACAGCTATAGATACTTCCAAACAGTTACTATGGTAGGGTCTTTTTTCTAGCTTTACTCTAAATGCTGAAACATTCTTTAAACATTGAAATGGTTTCTCTGGAGTATGAGCTGCAATATGAAAGTAGATGTATTTCCTGGTAATCTTTCTAATGAAACACTTGGTCTGTTTTTATCTCAGGCTTTTTCACAGCACTGCTACCAGTAACTTCCACAAGCAACACTGGCTACAGCAGAGTCATTTACAGCTTTCCTTTATAATAAAAAAAAAATCCGTTGACTGAATAATGCAGTATATGTTTCATTCTCTTGTAACAAAGGGCAATGAGAACTTTACCCGTGGCTTCTACAGAGTAGAACCATAGCGTAGGTAGCTGCAGGTCTTTTTTAGGAAGATCATATCATCCTGAAATTATCAGTGGGTTAAATGGACCAGAATCAGATCAGCCCTGCTTATTTTAATTTCTCTGACGAGTAAGAGACAGGAGACTAGATTCCTATTAGCTATGTCAGTTTCTAATAATTGCTAATATTGATATACCATTGATTTACTTTTTCTCTCCCCAGAGGAACTGCTAATACTGAAAGACTGTGTACAGTGTTGATACCAGTTAGAAAATGCTTTTGAGGTTTCAAGGAATATTTTAGATTTTAGAGTAAATGGGCTATTTTTCACAGTTTTCCTTTCTTAGTTCTTCTGATCCCAAAACTGAAACCAAAATTAGGACTACCAAAAAGAGTGTGCCAGGACCTAATTCTGTCTTCTTTCTTTGACACTCTTTAAAACCATTCAGTGATTTCAAATTACTGAGGGAAGTGCTGCTTTTACAAGAATAGAGCTGCAGTCACAGCTAAGTTAGTAAGAGCCTACTGAAGTATGAAAGTTAGCAGTGCTTTTTCCAGAGCAAAATAGTATGAATATAAGAAAAATAAAAATGGATCTTTCAGATTGCTACCTTTTTGTTCTACTTTGTAGTTTATGTAATAGACATTAATAGCCTTGACTCCCTTCCCTCTCCCGGTGGAGATTCTTTGCATGGGTATAAATGTATGCACAGTGCAATGGAAGAGAAGAAGGGTGTGAGGGTGTGTGTGTGAACAGTCAATAAAAGACTGTGAAAAAATGTTCTGTGAGATTTTCTCCTTTATATCAGTGGCTCAAACCACTTCCCACTGAAAAACAGCAATTTTAGAAACTTGAGAGACAGTGTTTTACATTTAATTATTTTTATTAGACCGAGAAATGGAGGAAAGTACTGTGTGGGCCGCAGGATGAAATTTCGATCATGTAATACTGATTCCTGTCCAAAGGGCAAAAAAGATTTCCGGGAACAACAGTGCTCTGAATTTGATGGCAAACATTTTAACATCAATGGTCTTACCTCTGCTGTTCGCTGGCTTCCAAAATATAGTGGTAGTAAGTAAATATAAACTTTTTAAATTAATGAAATACAAATGTTACTTTACTTTGCTGTATAAATAAATTTGTATAAATAGAAATGGCACTTTACTCTGTGCTAAATCAGACAAAAAATAACCTGTTGGATTTTCTTTCCAGTTTCCATGAAAGATCGCTGTAAACTTTTTTGCCGAGTTTCTGGAACAACTTCCTACTATCAGCTGAAGGACAGAGTTGCTGATGGTACTCCCTGTGGAGCGGAAACCAATGACCTTTGTGTTCAAGGCTTATGCAGGGTATTTAAATTTAAACTTATTAATTATTAAAATCAATTTAAGAGATGGTAAAACAGATATTAAGTATATGTCCAAGCAACCATTTTTGAAAACCTATAAATCATGATATTTTGAATTTATTAAAGTAAATTTTGATCCCTACCACATTAGAGATCTGGAGATGGAGGAGATTAAGTGATGAACATACAGCTGAATCTGAAAACCCACAATCCTTTCTCATTAAGCCTGGTGTGTGGGAGGGTTAATACTGTTGAAATGAGCAGAAACTGATACAAAATTGGTATAAAGGGAGGAACGAAGCACGCTGTGTGTTTATTACCATCATATTTCAGCCACAAAAAAAGTACAAAAGTAGAAAATCCAAGGGTATATAGGTTACATATTTATGATTCCATTGCAAAATCAGGAGGAACTGGTGATTGAAAAGGGATCATTTCAGCATTTTTGCTTGATAGAAGTTACAGAAGTGCCACAAGATTATCTCAGGAGAGGCAAGCTCATGCACTCTAAAAATTCACGACTGTTTTGTCCATTTTGTGTAGTACTGCTGATCACAGTGAAGATGACTAACTTAAAGCTGAAGAGAAAATTTAGCCTTTTTTATAGTGTTCAAATAATAGCGAAGAGGAAATGCCAGAGAACAGTCCTGTGTATGATAAGAAAAAAAATGAAAGGAAATGTAAATAAAGCTATGTAAATGAAAGAAATGTTCTTATACTAGTTTAACTGCAGTCTCCATATATTCCTTTGGTTTTTTTTGCAATAATGTCAGACTTTAAAAGAATTGATGATCATATGCATATGCTTACTGATTTTAGGATTCTAAGACTTTAAGTAAATACGTCTTAAGGTTTTACACTGCATTTAATATTTTTATACAAAATCTTTATATACCGTTAAATTTATTCTTGTACACTTCTTGACATATTAAGTGTATTTGCGTTGCACATTGTTAGTACAACAGAACTATTGTTTTACATCACAGCACCCAAAAACATAAAAGGCTTTTCATGAATTGCCAAGAAGCCAGATAGTCCTTTGATATATACAGTGAATACAAATGTCTTTGGGAAGTGGGAAGCTTGCAGTTTTTAGTTTTCATTGGGCTGAATGACACAGGCCTATTGTATTTCTTGTAGCAAGCTGGCTGCGATCACGTTTTGAATTCCAAGGCAAGGAGAGACAAATGTGGAATCTGTGGTGGCGATAATTCTTCGTGTAAGACTCTTGCAGGTACTTTCAACAGTGCTCGTTATGGTATGTCTTTTTAAAAAAATCTTAATGTACATTTCAGTTTGATTTAGAAATGATATTTTGTGTTTGCAGAAGTGTGATTTCAGTGCATGTTCTTTAGAGCCTCTGCCAGCAAAAAAATATCCCTGACTTTGAGTAACACATGCCCTTTCAAGGATGCAGAGGCAAGTGCTGACATACTGACTGATTCAAGGAGAAAAAGTCCATCTGCTCTAAGAGCAATACAAAAGACATGAAACAAAGATACGATGAGGAATTGTGGAAGTACTTTAAGGGGACTCTCTTCCTGCATTGCGCTTTGTGGTATTTCTTGAGTGGAATTGTGGAGCTGAAGGACTTACTGCAGCACCACCCTTTGGTTAATAGGGAAATAGTGAGAGGTCTACGTTGAGGTCTGAGCAGCTGGCAAGCTTTCTTTTTTTTATATAGTGAAAAAGATACGAAATGTGAGCCTTTTCTTTCTAGAGATAATAGGCAGGAACATTTATGTTCTTTCCTCATCATTGTCATGTAAGGAATGAGAAAGTCTTCTGAATAACCCTGATGCTTTCTATTTCCTTGATTTAATAACAGAGCTACTGATAGCTCTCCTTTCCATATATAGCCCATTTTGGGAAATATGTGGAAACTGTTGTATGTAGCTAGCGGTGCAGTTTAATAGAGCATACAACATAAGGTTGGAAGACTCTAGGTTAATATGAGATTGTCAAAGCCTACTTTATGCTGCCTTACTGATTGAAAGAGACCACAGGCAAAGGGAAAGTAACACCTGGAGAGGTGCTAGATACGGTCTTCATAGGACAAAAGAATTGTTGGTCAAAGAGGAAAGTATGACCAGTATCCTGTTGGATTTTTTTTTTTCCTGACAGGGCTTATGCCAAACAAAAAGTACCAAAACACTTAAAGGTGGCGTACAACTACCCTCCCCACACAAATACATGTAACTTTTCTTCTGTCTAAACTGAGATGTTGGAAGGCTCAATCACCTATTCTATCAGAGACTGAATTTCTGAATGTGTGCTCAAAATAGTAAAGGAAAAGAATGTACTATTTTGATAAATCTGAGTAAGGGACTATGGATGTTTTTGTTTTTCACCACTGTGAAGGATCTTTTCGTTTACAAGTAGCACAGGAATTACATCATAAATACATTTGCTGCAGGTAAATGCTATACTAAAACTGCCATTCTTACAATTATCCTTGAGACTGTCACTATTTCTATTGTTTATCAGCTTTGCATAGTCTCAGACTTATTTGCTCCTAATTGAAGTTAATTTGAAGAGGTAATAAAATTTTCATATGATGTAGATTTTTTTAACAAAATATCTTTTTAGAAAAATCCTATCTACTCATTTTACATTTAAAAGTGAATTATGAAAAATGGAAGATATGGTATGTATTTTGCTTTTCTAAAGTGAGTGAAAAGAGATAGTCTGCTTTGAAAGTTACTGTTTTGTTTATTTTCCTATGGGCTTTAACTGACATAATGTAGGACTATATATTTTGAGGAAGTAACACAATTAGGATGTCATGTTTATGTTTGGGAAGCTAGATGACTGCACTTTTTGTAGAACCTAGGATAAAACAGTTTCCCAACTAGCTGCTATAGACGTGACTTGAGTATCCTATGTTCTTTGCATAAGGCTCTGGGTGGAGCGCTGCTAGGTGTCCTTCGATTATTGTGGACTCTCACTACAGTGTAATGCAAGGGGGCCCATTATTCTTTGTGTTTTCTTCTCTAAGCTTCTGTCTTCATAAAAATTGCCACATTATACTATACTGGCGAAATTTTGCTGAAGTCACTCATTTGGATTATTTCGGTGACTTTGCTGGTCTTGCACAAGCCATATGTCAGGATAAAATTCAATATGAAAAAGAGTAAAACATATAAAAGCTATTTTAGGATTAAGAAAACACCTTGAGCTTATTATTTATTTTTGTATTTAATTTTATCATTTAAAGTATATTTGAATTATTAGAATTATAGTGTATAAAATATGATACTAGATTATAACCCTGCACAGTAGGCTGAAACATGTGAGAACGCTCAGCTGTGTTCAGACAGGAGTGCAGCAATGCAGTCAAGAGCTTGTAGCTAGCTGACCACTAAAAATTCTAAGAAATGGAGAGCTGGGCCCGTGGGAGGAGACCTGTGTCATCCCTAGGCTAGTGATTGAAAACATTCTCAGAGGAAATGTTCTTTTCTAGAGATTTTTCAAGACTGAATTAGGCATCACAAGATAAGAATGCTGAACATTGTGCACTTGGCCTTTTTCTTTTTCACTCACCTGTTCCTCTTCCACAACCACAAACCATTTTGCTATGGCAGAATGTGAAATGAGGCAAGAGCAGCATGTGGTATCACTGGTATGTTCTTGCAGGCATGCAGTTATAATATTGTTATTATATATTTAAACAGTAAATGAAAGTCATCAGAAATACAATGAAATGCCAGTTTGCTTGGCTCCCAATTTAGGAAACAGTAATATAATTATGTGTACTTAATTATTATGTTGGCTATTATTACTGCCTCTCAAACTAGAGTGTCTGAGGATATCCTAAAAAAATGGCTTTCTTAGTACCTTAGTATGTGATCTAGTGTCCTATTTATCCTTAACAATATGCTATGCAGTTTTATTTATCATTTCCTCCCATATTTTTTCTTCTGCCTTCATATTACCACAAGCTCTGCAGTGTGTTGGGTGAGGGGCTTTTTTGTGTGTATTTTGTTTTTTTTTTTCCCCATACTTTGGAAGATTGACCAAATGCTATGCATTTATCCAGAGCATGCAGTCGGTTTGCAATTGCAGTGCTGCCCCCAGCTGGTAAAGGTTACCAACCTGTTACTGGACTTGCTTGCTCATTCTAAGTGCATGGGATAGGGTGTTTAGATTAAAAGCCCTGGGAAGTTAGTGTATTATGAAATTGAAAAGGCGATTGCTGTTTGTTACCCCCTGACAAGACCGTGTTAAATATAGAAAAATAAATGGAAAAGTTAACAAAGATTATATTAATGATTCAAGTTAAATATTTGTGTTTATTATTTGTTTCATGCATTTATCATATTCAGTTTTTCTTAGACATGAGAATCCTTTTGGATGTGTAAATAGCATCTGAGAGAAACAGCATTTTTTTGCCTATGCTTGTGAGCAGAGTGATAGTTTTTCCACAAAGTAGATTTTGATGCAGATTATTACATTACCTCAAGATAAGGCTACCCTAATACTAGTAGAGGGATTACAGGAGACGACTCATATGTGAAGTGTATTTTGAAGGGAGCACACGAGGCTAACATTTGAATAGTAGAATGTGGATCAAGCGTGGCTAGTTTATCCGATATATCTACTTATGTGTATGGCTTGCAGCACTGCAATAGTTGAATACTTAGGACTTGTTCTTTAGAGTGCTGTCATGCAATACTTCTTGTAAGATAGAGAAAAGCTAACCCAATTGTACAGAGAGGGAGCTGAGGTACTGTAGGTTAAGTGACTTACATGGTCAGAGTGACCACGAACAGCCACCATGTTTCCTGAGTCCCACTAGATTGCTCCGTACAGCACTCCTGCTCTTTAGAGATTTTTCTGAAAGGGATTGGTAAAGAACAGAATTCACACTTTTGAAACCAAGAATGAATTTTAATTGTCTCTTGAGTTATGAAACTAAAAGTTCAATTCAACTGACTTTTTTTAAAAAAACAAGGAAATTTAAGGTACATAAAGATGTTTACATCTCCTTTATAAAACATGAGGGCATTCAGCAGGGTTATCACTGGTGCATTGCAGGGTTTTTTGAATAAAACTAGTTAAACGTAAGTCAGAAGGTACATATTTACTCATACACAACAATTTTTGTGTATAATTAATTTGTGAATAAATATATTGCAGGTTACAATGTTGTAGTGAATATTCCCAAAGGAGCAACAAACATTGATATTCGGCAGCACAGCTACTCAGGGAAACCGGAAGATGACAACTACCTCGGTAACAGCCTCCTGTGTACAACACTGATAGCTGGTTTGTGTGTATTCGCCAGAGACTTATGTTGTCAGGATTTGCTCTTTATCCTGATTTGCTCTTTAGAACAAATGTGAAATTACATGGTATCATCATTTCTCTGATTTTCTCTGTAAATGTTCACAGCATTAATAAGAAAAATGAGTGAGATATTGCTTGGTTTCTAATTCTTAAACTTGTCCATTTGTCAGAGAATAAGAATTGTAGTTTTGTTAATTTTTGAGTTTGTTGTGGCCATGTTTATTAAAACACCATGAGCAAACTAAGGAATAGCGTAGGCATTTGTGGTTTTAATTTTGGAAGCACGCAGTTTATTTATGAATGAAGCTGTCAAGACTAAAGAAGTGGTCTGTGAACTTCAGCAAACTTATCAGTCATCTCACATTTCTCTCTTCTATCGTGTCTGACCTTCTGTTTATCTATGAATGTAATACAGAATAACGATGTACAGGAAAAAACAAAAAGTAGAAGCTTGAATTGTATAAATACTATAGTAAAACAACTGAAATGACTAGTGCAAAGTAAAAGCTGCCTGGTAGGTAACTTGTATCTTTCCAGAATTCTAAATTCACCAAAACTTAGGATCATTAAAAGCCAGAAAATAAAATTGCCATATTTACAAACAGAACCTTACTTCCATTTTATCCCCAGAAGGATCGGAAACCTTCTGGGTTTTGCAGATGGGAATTGCATGTGTGCACTCACACTGAAATCACTGTGCTAAGTACAGCTGTACCGCACATTGGAGGGAACAGTTGCAACCTTTTGGCAGAATTACGATTATGATACAAAGGAATTCTGGGTACCATGCCCCCGTATAAATCACATCTGTATTAGTTCGTGGTGAAAATTGTCGTGAATTGGATAGGATATATGTATGGTCCAGAGATTTCGTAATAAGTTAATGAAATACAGTATTTAATGACAGCCTCTAAATACACTGTATAAAGGAAAAATGTTGTTTTGATGAGGTATACTAAATGTATGAGGGGAAAGAATTGGTCCATTTGGTAAAATTTATATGTAATCAAGTTTAGCCTCAGCAAAGGAGAAGCATTAAATGCTATCCTAAAGTGGAGGGATGTCCAATGTCTTGAATCATGTGCTCTACTTCAAAAGACAGAGTTCATTTATTTGTGAGAAGAATAATGGGGCTCAAAGAAGACAAACTGAACTTGTATTGTGTGCTGGTGAGTTTCTTAGTTGGCAGACACTTTATGAAGCACTTAACTTTTGAAAAGAAAGGGGTGAGTTTTTCTTGAGCCGGTGTCCTGGAAGAACACTAGATACTGTCTGGCAACTGTGACTCTTGTTTTTATTACTGAATTTTCTACTTTCTTTTAAAAAGAAAGAGAAGCTAATTTTTTAACAATTGTTTATCACATGGTTAACACAAATTTACTGTGGGATGCAGTGGAATTCTTAAGTGATCCTTTCTCTTCTCATGTATTTTCGTGTACCAGAATGAGTATAAAGATCACATTTAAAAAAAAAAAAGGTTGCTAACTTTGCAGGTGTGTAGGAGAAACAGAGAATTCACAATTTGTCCCAAAAATCTTGATTGTTTTATTTCACAGTAGTTATATTACCTTTGAAGTGCATGAGAGAGTATCAGTGCATATTTTCCTTCTCTCTCTCTTCTTCCATTACCATTCCACTCAACACAATGTCATTCCTTGTCCTATTAAGTCTTGAGAGCTTTCAAAGCCATCAGAGTATTCCAGATTGTTTTCTTGCTGTCTAATGCCCTGCTGCTGTATATGTATCTCATAGGAAGTAGAAACAACCCTCATCCCTGACTCTAACTACCATTTAAAACACAGTTATGCCTGAATAGCATGCCTTTACTAAATTTAAAAGTAGCTCTAGAGAGCATAAGACTGTGGACTCTAGAATAGGTCAGAAATATAAATGAAATTTGTTCCCTTTAGGCTGCAGAACCTAACCGAGTTTGAAAGTGATTACTATAGTCAGCCTTTTAGCACAACAAATGTTATTGATGTTAAGTGTTGTTAATGCAGAGAAAATCCATGACAGCTGCTCAGGTGAAAGCTGCTGAAGTTTGGGATCATATTCATGCCTTAGGAGCAGTTTGATACAACTTTGAAATACTATACGTGGAATAAAATAAATCTAAGTGTTCAAACAAAAATATATTATTATTAATTTTCTTTAGTAAAATCTTTTAATTAAAATAGATGCTTTATTCCCAATATTTTATTTTACTTATAGCTCTATCTGATATTCATGGAAATTTTATCTTGAATGGAAATTTTGTTGTAAGCATGTCAAAAAGAGAAATCAATATACAAGGAGCTACTTTCGAGTACAGTGGTTCAAACAATACTATAGAACGAATTAACAGCACTGATAGAATTGAGGAAGAGCTAACTTTACAGGTGAACTTTCAATTTTTTCATAAGTTTGAAAATTCACTACATGCTTATAATGCTCATAAGGTTATGTCATGCGCACATTCACTGAAAAACAGTTATCATTTTATTTCAATTAAGAATTTATACAACCCTGATGTGCGTTATTCATTCAATATCCCAATAGAAGACAGAAGCGATCTGTTCATGTGGGATCCCTATGGACCCTGGCAGGACTGCAGCAGAATGTGCCAAGGTATTGTGGATTCTTTTTTCATCAGAATCAAAAACGTGATGACATTTGGGAAGGGGCTAGTCTGAAATACACAGGATTTTGTCACCTCCACCTTAGTAAGAAAGAAACTCAGCGTTCTCAGTAAACTTTAGGTGCGCAGAGCTGTTAAGGGCAGAGTGGCTTCAGATTCTATTTTCCTGTTTTCAGTATTTATGCAATGCAATTCCATATACAAAACTATATGCTTGTTCCTTTTTTTGCCATAGGAGTGATTTATAAAAAATATTTCAACCAAGTGTAATGCATCCTTGAAAACATGGTATTGTATATCTGCTAAGATCTATCCCATCTCCTGTCATCATATTTCCAGATGTCGATTACTTGATTTGTCTAGTATCTTTCATGTATATTTCTTTGTCTTTTTTGGTTTTCTGTTATTTGAGATAAAGGTATTTTAGAATATTTTTATAATTTTTGTCTGATATTCTGTGAGCTGTTCCACTGAAAAATAAAACTGCAACATATATGAAGTGTATGTATACAGTTTATGTACACATATTGTGGCAGATACTCCAATTAGCAGATGCTAGGAATGCCTTTATTTGGGACAAATGATGGTACGTTTCTTCTGGTTTTGAGTCAGGCTGTAGACGTGCTCGTGTGCTAGGTAGCTGTGAACTTTGCTACTTCTAGCCCTCCAGGAGACCTTCCAGGTACCCTGCGCTCAAATTTTCTGCTGCGTTAAAGAAAGGGATCATGACCTTGGAGTTAGCATAGTGGTGTTTAGTAATTACCAAGGTAATTTGGTAATTAGCCAAGGACTAATGTGATGCATTTGGAATACCTGCTGAGTAAATGAAGTGTTGCACTTTATACTACAGTTTTCTGGAAGTTGATGCCCTCATGAGATCATGGTGGTATGGCTGGGAGACATCAGAGATGGGCAAGCATGACAGGATCAAGGTTGTTCCCCACAGGAATTTAGTCAGCTGCACAATGTAAAGTGTTGGTGCAGAATCTGCTGTATACAAAGATTAATGTTAATGGAGTATCTCAGTTAAATTCCTAAATTATGAATTGGAATTCATTAATGTGAAAAAGGCACTCTTATTTAGCCCCTTTTTACTTTTATTCTTGTTCTTTCCAAGGCATTCGAAGAAGAAGAATGACATGCATACGTAAAAGTGATCACGTGGTAGTGTCTGATCAAAGATGTGAACTTACACCTTCTGTACCAGAAGTCTTTGAGGAGTGTAATACAGAATGTGAGTTAAGGTAAAAAGATGTTCTAAACTGATGGTGCTATTGTGGTCTTATTTTTGCTGCTAGAGATTGAAACAAAATAATTCAGACTGCTTTATTCTCTCTCCCTCACTCCCTTGCTTCCTTCCTCAAATCTGTTGATTTAATGGATTTATACATTAGATTTACATCTCCAAAACTATGTGGAGCTAATGTATATTTATAATTTTTATTCATTAAGTTCAAAGTCTTCTGTTAGGGTTGTGAATTTCTTCTCTACGTGCTGGACTAACAAATTGTATTCCTGGGTGGAATACATTTTTCACTGGAATTGTACTCTCAACTGGAACTCATTTGGAACACGAGCGTGTGTTTTTGCCCTCTGAGAAAGTCCACAATGAAGTGTGCAGAGGATGACCGATTAGAATTATTGCTTGCGTTTTTCAAAGTCACTTAGGAGATTTAGACAAAAGATGCTTTAAATGTAAAAAGAATTTTTAAGCGTATGAGTCATATTCCTTCATATTTCTTTGAAAATTCCCATCTTTATATAGGCTTTACAGTCTTATTTATCTGTTACCTAGAATTTATATTTATATTGCGCTTCTAACTATATTCTCCGACTGCTTTAGTTTTATTTTTAAAACATAGTTAGTTTTCTATAACAGTTTATCCTTGTAGGTGGCACAGTATTGGCAAAAGTGACTGCACATCAAAGTGTGGCCCAGGGTATCGGTCTTTAGAAATCCATTGCATGAAGTACTCTGTTTCAAAAGGACTCAGTGCTCCCGTGGATGATAAGTACTGTGCTGATCAGCAGAAACCACCAGCCAGAGAGCCCTGTCATGGTGACTGTGTGTTAACAAGTTGGCACTACACAGAATGGTCAGAGGTACAAATTGAAAACGTTATAATTATACCATTATAGTTCTGGTTAGTTTTCATATCAGATTTTTATTTTTATATCCTTTTTTTTCAGTCTAAGCAACTAAAAGAAAATAAAGTTTGACAAATCCAATGTTGTAGGAGTAGCTAATACCTCTATATTTAGGTAACTACTGGACAAAATTCCTCATATCTTTGTGAGAAACTGTAGATACCTAAATTATATGCCGCTTGGTTTTGGAACTCAGCAGAGAAGATCTGAGTGTTCAAAGTGTATTTTTTATTACAGTCTTAATAATTTAGTTCTCTGAGTATTTTAAAGAAAAAAGGTTAGTACAATTTCAGCTTTAATTTTAATTAAAGAGTTTTGTCCTGGAACTACTTAACAAGGTGCCAAATTTCTCTCTGGTGCACGTATTTGAAGTGTGTAGACTTAAATGGACATAGGACGGGATGCATGTGACCTACATGATCTTTGAGACTTTCATCTTTAAGACTGATAATGTATTTTGAGCTGTTTTTTATTATGGTATGTTTCCTTTTTCACAATATTTTGTGTACGCTGCAGTGTTCAAGGAGCTGTGAAAGAGGTGTCAGAACCAGAGAAGCTTTTTGTATGAACAATTTGGGTCGTCGTCTTCCTGACAGAGAATGCCATGAACTTCCAAGAATCGTAACACAGAATTGCAATGAATTCTTATGTCCAAGCTGGTCTGTTAGTGAGTGGAGTGAGGTAACAAACCAGGCAAAACTTAAAACTCATTTGGTCATCAATATTAAAATAAGCTGTCTTGAGTATTTTTTTTCTAGTTATTTTTGGACACATGCAAGTAAAAATACTTAAGTGCTAGGATTCTGCTGATGTACATACCAGATGTACAGATAGCTCAAGAACTTGTGAAAAACACGCCAATAATTAATTTTTTCTCTGAAATGTTGTTGCAGTTAAAAGGGATAATGAAACTACATAACATAGATCTGTCTACAGTCCTTTACATACCATCCTTTGTTGTAAAGCAGTGTGAAACATTCAGCCAAGTGAAGACAAAAATTATATGCAATTTAATATAGATCATATGGATATAATTGAATTATGGATCATGTAAATGTTTCCTTTGAAAGCTGTGGTATATGCATTCATATTTTAAATAAGTATTCTTTTTTGATGGCAATAAATAAACGGTACATTGTTTTCATATTCTTATAGCTTTAGAAACTTAACAGTGATTCCTCTGTCTGTATTATGCATTTGGGCTGATATTTACTAGAAACTGCGAGTTCACAAAATAACTAGTTTTGTTGCACTACTTATGTTTCTGGAATATTTTTGTCAGTTATGTGATCTTTAAAATCCACCAGACTACTAAAAAAAATGAAGTTTCATGTCTGGTGAATCTAATACAATTTTACAGTGTCCTGTGACATGTGGCAAAGGAATGAGACATCGACAAGTATGGTGCCAACTTAATGATGAACAAATGAGAGATGATTTCTGTAATCCAAATGATAGACCAGAATCAGTAACACCATGTGAACTTCATGAATGTGCATCTTGGCAAGTTGGGCCTTGGGGATCAGTGAGTACCTAAGGATTTCTGACTTTTTGCCTTTAGTTCAGACGTTGGGTGAACGCAAAACAGTGCCGTTTAAATATTTTTATTAACTTTCGCAGCTACTTCAAGTGAATTGGTTTACATCTCTCTCTGTTCCCATTGGCTATCTAACCCGTAATTTAGGAACATCCACACAGAATTTGGATGTCTAAACTAGTTCACTGACTATGAGCCTTGATTTCTAAGACTGCTAATGCTATTTCACATGAACACATTTCATCTCCAAAATAATGAAAATAGTTTTATGTAGCAAAGCATTCAAATGAATGGGACAGGTAAGTGACCAAATATTTATAAATATATCAACATATTTAAATGGTAGCTTTAACTTAGAGCATAGAATGGTATATGCTAATAATAGCAGGCAAAATGCATCATATTTGGTTGCATATCTTATGTTTTTATATAATCTTCAGTGATAAAAGAGCTTTCTGTCTCTTTATTTGAAAGTGCAGTTCAAAAATATATTCTTTTGGCTGATGATGCTCGTCTAATGTATGCCAGAGAGGCTTCAAAATTCCAGCAAAAGGTGAATCAGTTTGAGAAGGTAACTTTTGTCACCAAATAGATGAGAATTAATTCAAAAACAAGGCACTCAATTTCATGAAGCTTCGGTATGTTCAGATTACTCAAACCAAAATAGGCATTGGCTTATTCATAGTGATTGTTGGGTGTTAGTGAGAACTCATAACAGAATGTCAGGTGCTATTTATTTTTTGCATATAGCCTTTTAGTAAAATAAGTAATAAATAAGCCTTGGGAAATTACATACATTTTTAACTTACACGTTTCTTTTGTATAAAATTTGTCTCATGTTGTATTTTTGTACTGCAGAGATTACCACACCGTTGTCTAACACAATGTTGAATGCCTTTTTGGTTATCTTTTGGTCACAAGATGCTGGCTTCTCATTTTTAGATGCTAAGTGCAAAAAGGAAGTAAGAAATTTAATTAGGTAGTCCCATGGTACAGTTTTTCAGACTAGGGAATCACAGTGTTATAGCTGTTCTGGAATAACTCTTACAGGAAATTTACCAATCCATGTAGCTGAAGCAAAGCTTTCCATTGCAATTAATCCACCTTACCATCTGGTACCAGCTACTCATGACCTGGATTTTTGCTGGTATTTCTTGCTTGAACTACAATATTTGTAGGGTGGGATTTATGTCATGCTACTTTGAGCCATCTGAAAGTTTAGGTGCCTTCTTTAATAGGGCTGTTGGCACACTGTGTAGTCAAGGGCAAGGAATGAATAGCTCCAGCTGGTGATTCATTTATCTAGGGGGTCTCGATTAAGCTACCCATTAATAAACTGTCAGTACCTGGTGACTCTAGATTATATCAGAGAGTCTGACGCGGTGGGCAGATAAAGCACAGGAAGTTTGGGAGACTTACGCCTTTCTAGAGCGGCAGAGTCCGAAGGAGGATATTCCAGGGTATCTCCCATGGCGTCTCTCTGAAGCAACAGAATCATTCCTAAAGTGCCTGAGATAAACAGGATAAATCAGGTTCTAGAGGTTCCTATCTCTCTCCACTAGCTACAGAGGGACCCTAGATAGCTACAGTTATATCCCGCTATCTGCCAAGGATCTATTCCTGGAAAGTGCAACAGTGATAAAAAAGATAGCAAAGCAGTGTTTCCCATAAAAATTAACAAAATGGAGGGGGGGATGCATGCAGAGACTTAAGAAATACTTGCCGTTTAAATACACAGAGACAGTGTTTCTGGTGTGGAGGATGAAGAGGCAGAAGCAGGACCATCAACTGGAGGAGAGGCTTGCTTTTCAAAAGTGGGCTTTTTAGAGAGGATTACTTTTCCTTTGCCTAGGGAACTACATTGTGCTTCTGGACAGTATAATCAGTGGAGTTAAGAGAATTCTTCATTTGACCTAAGGTAGACTCTGGTAGCTGCGCTTCTTAATTGCTCATTAACTAGGCTATTTTGGTGAGATTAGTATGTAAAGCGTACATACGCCTTACAAACTGAATTCTAAATTTTTAAATTGCATGCAAATTGTCTGAATTACTAGGCTAATCTTTAGGCATGTAAATCAGTAGCTGTTGAGTAGACATAAGATTACTCAATTTTAAAATCATTCCACATGTTAAATTACCATTATAATGGTAAAAAGATTGTACGGGACATCGTTTCTTAATTATTAAATTCCTATTCATGATATAATGAGTTTTAAAATAGAAAATTTAATTAAAAAACTAAATTTGAGTAAAAATAATGTTATTTCAAGTATGTGAAACTACTGACTTTAACAGTGTGCTGTAACATGTGGCCACGGATACCAGATGCGTGCAGTCAAATGTGTTGCTGGGACTTACAGAGTTATTTTGGATGATGACAGAGAATGTAATGCTGCTACTCGTCCTAGAGACAATCAAGTAAGTAAACAAGTACCTTGGAGATGGCAGTGCTTTTTAGCACAAATACTGTCTAGTGACTTTTGGGGGGAACTTGAAAACGAGTTCTAAAATGTGAAAAAATACTGAAACTATCTGCTCTTTCTGTGTGCTTCAAATTTGGCCAGAGGAATTAAGTAAAAGAAGAGCAATTTGGACATTGGAGACATGAAAATTTGGTATATAATTGAAGGTGAATATTTGTAGAAAGCTCCAACATGTAGAATAATATAAGGAAACTGAGCACCTGATCACCATGATGCACAATAATTGCACCTAGCTGGCCTGATATTCTACTCTAAAATCCTAGTTATATATAGTTATTAAAAGAAAAAGAGGGTTATTTGAAGAAAGCTTTGATTATTGGAATGAGATTAATTCAGAACTGTATAGACATGAACTTGTATTTATGAATGTATGATATGATTCTCTACTTTTCTCTTTTGTCCCAAGTTACTTTAGCACTTCTGTTAATGTAGATCTACCCTTTTTATAAGAAATGTTTGTTTACTATAGTCAGTGGGTTTACGTTTAACTAAAAGCAATTAGTGTCTTAGATGCAATGTAGCTGTGTATTGATATATTGATCCAGCCATCAGATTGTTGCATCACGTTTATATCCAGTTTAGCTGGTAACCACTGAGAGCAACTCTGGTTCCCATCTCAAGGAGAACAAAAAATAGGATTTCATGGTCCAGAGTAAACCAGTTACAATTGCTCCTGTGATGGCTTCTTGAATAAGATTCAAAATAAAACAGCTAAATAATTGGTAAAAAGTAATTTCCACTCATATGTGGAAATGCACTGGGTTTGAATATGTCTTGTATTTTGAAGAGCAGTACCAGTACAGCTGTTGACTGAAACTGGACAATTTCTTGTTCTCTGTAGCTGAAGGTATAAGGAACAGCCCAGCCACTATTATCTCTCAGTTCTTCTTTACTGCATGTGGCTCTGAAACAGAGCACAGTAATGTTGATTTCCCTTGTCTCCAGCAAGTTACCAATACAGTTCTTTCTCAAAGTGGAAATGTTAGTAGTTATTACTGATATAGCTTTATTGTTAAATTCTTTGCCTCTCAATTGGAAACAAAACTAAATAAGAAATTTTGAATAATGCCATGGAAAATTAGAGGATGGTATTTACTTGTTAATTCATGCTACCTTATTGCAGTGGTAGGAGCTACCTTTTTGGGTGACAGATTTACTTTACGTTCGTCTGTTCCAAAAATTGTATTTTTTAAGTTGTTCTTTTTCTCCCCTACAGGAATGTGAATTGCCCCCTTGTCCAGAAAATACAGAATTATGGACTACCTCACTTCCTCAGATTCATGTGGGGAAGGTGACTCAATGGAGATATGGATCGTGGACCCCAGTATGTTATGTAACGGTGATCATGGCTTGCAAAACTATCCTCCACTTTTTCATCCATTTTCCAATTGTGGAAAGCTCTCATCTGTATATCTTTCAGATTGACGTCGTCTTGGGATAATTCTTTAAAGAAATAATATTAACTTTTTTAAAGAATTTTTTTTCTGGAAGTAGTTGACACTCCAGGCAAATTCTGTGTTTCCAATCTAGCAGGGAAGATAAGGGGGGGAAAAAAGCAGTTTGGATACTAGAGTTCTGAGTAGAATAGCTTTAATGTGATTGAAAGTGTTCAAGGAAATACATTTTAAAATAATGAATTAGTTTCTGAAAAATGAGAACGTTTTTCATTCTAAAAAAAACTATTTAAATATTTTACATGAATAGCAATGGTAAGTAGTTTTGGTCTTTAAGGATCTCATGCTAGATAACTTGCAGAATAAGTGTTACAAATAAATTCAGTTTATATACAGACTTTATTTAACAGAGGAATTTTTGATTTTGGTAACGATGCAAATTAGTCTTATTTGACAGAGGTTTGAAAATTTTAAATAATCTATAAAAATGTAGGTGTGTCTATTAATCCCTGGAGGTTCTTAGCAAAGCACAAAACACAATTATATCTTTGTGAAGCTATTTTAGCTAAATAGTAGTAACGAGTGCATAGATTGAGGTTACTCGAAAGCTCACTACTAAATCCATCTTGAACTTTTCAACTATAAAGCCATCAGAAGGGGCTTAATGGAATATGCTAATATAAAACAAGTATGGTAAATTCTAAATATTAGTTTTTATTATGTCAGTTGATGTAAATATTGCATCACTATTCAAGTAACTGAAATGTGCTTGAAATTCCTATCCAACGTGTCTAAGATTGATAAAGAATAAAATACTTTCTGCATCTGTATAATGATTGCATGTTATAGCTGAAGTCTTATCTGTTCAGAGATACTGAATTAATTCAGCAGAATTATGGCCATGCGTTTCAGTCCATCATTGTTTCACTTTTCTTCCTGAATGCATGGCTCTGTTAGCGTCGTTTTGTATCAGTGTGAGATGGGAATCTGTTTCTCAGGGTTTAATTCTGAATTCAAACTGATACAAAGCTATGTTAGTATTTTAAATGTTTGCATTGTCTTCTTCTGGTCTCCTAAACTGTGATGAGCATGAACTGTTTTATCACAGTGCTCTGCATCCTGTGGAAAAGGTGATCGTGCTCGCTATGTGAGTTGTAGAGATGCTCATGGAGGAATAGCAGATGAATCTTTCTGTGCTCATTTACCACGACCAGATGAAATTTCAAGCTGCTTTAGCCCATGTGGAGAGTGGCAAGTTGGAAATTGGTCCCCTGTAAGTATTACTAGTGTTATTTTTTAATGTGTCTCTTAGATTATTGGGCAAATTTTCCGGTTAGAAGTTGGGACTTCTTATTCTGTACAGGCATGCTTGAAGGTGCATCCCTTGAGAAAATAACATACACATTTCTTATTGTCAAAAGTAAATATAAATGTCTTTGATTATTAGTCATAAGCATTCTATCACAAATATTGGATTAATTTTTGGCCAGTGCACAGTTACGTGTGATAGTGGAGTAGTAACGAGACAAGTTATCTGTGTCAACTATCATCAACAAATCAACGAGAATTACTGTGATCCCGAGGGCCGTCCTTCCAAAGAACAGGAATGCAACATGCCGCCGTGTCCGCCAGTTTATCATCATATTCCTAAAATACATGATCGTCCAAGCCATTTTCCAGAAATAGATTACTTTCCAATACACTATCCACAAGATAATGTAAACCGGTGGAACCATCCTTCTATGGGAGGATATCAATGGAGAACTGGACCCTGGGGAGCAGTAAGAAAATTTTTAAATATATTGATGTGTTCTGTCACGCCTGTGTTAGCCTTTCTACAAATGTCTTTGAAGAATGAATTTGGTCAAATTAAAAGTACATTTATTTAAAAATATTTTAAATCTGAAAATATATTCAATTTAAAATTTTTTTTTGCATTTTCAGCTTTAAAATACTTCTACATAATAGTAATTTTTATTTGCAAATTTCCAATTTTAAATGCTAACATAAAATTTTTAATTTAAAGTTGTTTTAACCAACGTATTGTACATTTTGCTGATTATACAATAGTGATATATATATATATGTTTACATGTTTTGCTAGTGCTCTAGTACTTGCGCAGGTGGATTTCACCGTCGGGTTGTAGTATGTCAAGATGAGGAAGGAAGAAGTGCTAGTTACTGTGATGAGGCAACAAAACCTCCAGAGTCAAGACACTGTGATTCTGGACCCTGCCCACGTTGGAACTATGGGAATTGGGGAGAAGTAAGATTATTTCACTTTCAAAGGGAAACATTATTTACCACATAAGTTTAGAAACAGTAAAATAATTATTTGTCTGAATGGAACAGAAGACCATTTTTTACTTATTTAAAAAGAATCCATTTCACTCTATTGATCTAAAATTCGTTCTTTGATCAAATTCAGAATTGTAGTGTGTATATGGGTAGTGAAATACACTCAGAAGAAGTAAGTATTGTATGATGCTAAGTGTGTACAAAGTGATTGGAATTATGTCATTGTATTTGTTAGTCAGTAGAATAGTGATAACTTTAGAAATTCTAATTTTATTTATATTTACCTGGTATTTCTCAATTTAGTAAAAAAAAACTTATAATTGAATGTTACAGTAGTTTCTTGAATCTTGATTTGTACAGAATTATTTTCTATTCCAAAAAGATAAATTGTATGAGAAAAACCTCTGTGTAATAGCTACCCTAAGAAAAATCAAACCTAAGAAGTTTAAATGAAAGTTATATTTTACCTCAAATTTATTAAGTAGTGACTGGAATAACTGCAGGTAGTAGAATAATTATATCCCGTATGAACATATTAGAAAGAGAAAAAAAAATACTGGGTTGTAGCTATGAATTAGAAGGTATGAAAATAAGTTCATGCATCTAAAAGGTATGCTTAGGTTAAGTAGTTTGTTATCTTAAAGGCAGAAATAAAATCAGTTGTAGTAGCTTCAAGCATGCTAAACCTGGCAACTTCCACTCTTGAATTAGAATGTTTTGATGCAAAATTATACATTTTTGGACAAAGAAAGGTTTCCCTATGGTATGTATTTTCAAGCTTTGACCATGCATTCTTGCTCAGACCACAAGAAATATAAATCCATATGGTTCATTTGGCATTCGTTCTAGTCTAACCTCTTGTGGTTCTTGCCACTTCTTGGATACCTGAGTATCGAGAGCGGGATAAAACAAGAAAAATTGATCGAGTCACCTTTTTTTTTTTTTTTTGTTTTGGCCAGTTGTAGCCATTTAGTTCTCAAGGTTAGTCTGAAGGTCATGACCGTAGTTGCGGACTTGGATTCCGGTTAACGCAGGCGCAGCAGGTCATGTCTAATTTAGAATCCTCTGAACTACAGTAAAAAGTTATAATGTGTTGGAACGTGCTGACTTTTGATCAGATTGATTAAAATAGCTCATTAGAAATGAGAATTCATATTAGTGTCAGAAAACACTGGAATTAGAGAATTATTTGAGAACTGAAACTAGAGTGAACCCAGAATAAAATTTTCATAGCTGCCAATGCACATATTGGAGGAATTTCTAGTCCAAATTTGTTAATTTTTTTTTCTCTATAAAGCAGAGCAGTGAAAAATCAAACCACAAACCACACCCTATAAATATTTGACACTTAGTCTATGTAAGTTAGAGTATGAGAAAATGTGTCCAGTGTCTGAGACTTCTCTTGTCTGGCAGGGATACTGTTTTTAGGACTGATTTCCACCTTTTCCTGTTATAAATGAGCCATATACCTGTACATTTATTCTCTCAAATACTTATTTCTCATTGATAGAGCAGATTATCCCTGTTATTGAGACTCTTTCTAGACAGTCACTTGAGAAAGTATAAAAATGTAGTTTTGTAAACTATTATTTGGTGAAAGAATTGTCATTTCGTTGTATGAGATTAGGCTGTCAGTCCTCGTTCTTGGATGCAGTGTCCAGGGTTTATGAAAATAAACATAGTAAGTCATAACTTGTATTGATTATTGCTATATCTTTTTTGATTAATGGTATGTGAAGACTCTCTTAACAAAGATATTGTATATAAAATTCTGTATTTTAGTGTACTCAAACATGTGGAGATGGAATAAAGACAAGACTGGTGATTTGTCAGCTTCCTACTGGCCAAATGTTGGGTGATCAAAACTGTGAAATTCTAGACAAGCCACCTAATATGGCACAATGTAATGTGCATTCTTGCCCTGGTGATGTTTCATGGCATCGGGGACCATGGAGATCGGTACGATAGCATTCACTAATATTTTTCACTTTCTTGCTCTTTCTGTCACTCTCTCCTCTTGCCTTTTAAAAATTATATTGGTACTTTATTTGATAACAGTGAAAAAAAAAATGCATGTGGAATATAGTCTATGTAGTTTTATTAAGCAATTGCTCCTGCACTCACTGAGTGAAGTGGGAAACTGCCATTTACTTCAGTGGGAACAGTATCATGCTCAGTAAAACACAGGGAATATTTTGAAGTTTATCAGAAATCATCTTAACAGATAGCAATAAGTAATAGTTTATTCTGTTTTGAAGGATTATGAATTGATCTGTTTCATAATTTTAAAGGTATATACTGTAATTTATACTGTAGTATTATCTACCTATTTATATTTGTAAAAAAGCTTTCTAGTGCATAACATTTTTTAATTAATACTATATTTAAGAATAAAATATATCTCACATATCTATATTACACTGTCATAAAACAACATTTTACTTCATATTACATGTACATTTGTGTATAAAAGTTTATATTTGTAGGTTTTAAACAGTGGCTAATTAAAGTTGTCTGTGTATAAATATGTATGTAACTATAATATGTTATTGTCTATATGTCGTTGTCTATTAATGTATAAAAATTACTACAGTAATCATCCTTAATCTTTAAAATTGCCACTACCAGATAATTAACATCCTGAAGCAATCTTATGATGTAGTCTATTGTAGAGTATGCTATTACCCAGGCTATGAATTTGACAACAGTATTTATTGATTATTGTGCTCAATTTTAAAGTGATTGATGGCTATCAAAGGAGGTGAGATCCAGCTCTGGTTTCCTAGAAATCAGTGCAAAAACTGTCGTTGACATCACTGGGAGATGAGCCAGGATCACAATTCTATACAATGGTTTTATTAATAAAATTGTATAATTTTGTGATTTGAATTAATCTGGAAACATTTTAAAAATGAATGTTGAATTTCAATATTAAATGATTTCTCAGTGTTTGCATAGTCTTTTCTAATCTGTTGCAAATATACTTAAAAATGGAAATCTCAATTAATAATTTATCACAGGTCTCTTTCTTCCACTGTGCAAAACAGAGTTTTAGTTTTGTGTTTAACAGACACTAGAGTAGCTTTTTTAGCCATTAGCCAAATAATTAGTGGTGACTTGCTAATACTTATCCTTATTAGTGTATGCATTTCACGTGCTGAGAAGCCAAGCATTCATACAAAATTGCCTTTGGACTCAACATTTATTTTCCTTTTAGATCTAAAATTGTCCGCACCTTGTTCCTTCCCTGAGTGATGCAACTTGCGCTGCATTAATAGCTTACCTATGGTAGGAATAATATCCCAGTATGTGCTATTTTATAAGTCCTATATGGCGAGTTTTGCAAAGATTTTCATGTTGTTTTATAATATCTCAGTTGACGTAAAAGCCAAAAGTTTAGAATCCAATCTAATGATGAAAGAGAATGTTTATGGCCTTTTTTTAAATTCAATTCCAAATTCTAGAGGTATTCAGTAATGGATTTTGATTCATCTCTTTAGCCTTCACCTGTGGGTTGCTGATTAGTACTGTGATAGTTTGGCATTAGATCACGGCTCTGCCTATCCTATGTCTTTCTGGAGTGCAGTATACTCTCATATAGGGTGCTCTTATTGTACTCATAAGGGGTTGATGACTGGACATTGTTTGGGTCATCAAATGTATCTCGTCTATAATTATTCCCTTCTCTGTAAGGACTGCAAGAACTAGATAAAATACAATCCTTATTTTTGATAAAGTAGAGAGAAACATATATGTGTCTAGACACATACTTTTATATCTAACAGTGAGTTTCCACTGTCAAACTTCAGTAGAGACTGAAATGTGAGACTTCCCACATTTAGTAAAAGTTGCCATAATTGATTTTGTGCTGTCTTTTGCTTCTAGCATGCATGGCATAAAATAAAACACGTGCAGAGGGTGAGCAGAAGAAAGGGAAAATTTGAACAGTTTCTTCATGTGGAAGAGACTGTATAAACCATGTCAGAACTAAAAGCTTTAGCTTGCTTATTATTCCAGTTTTTACACAGCCAGATAGTTTCCTCTGACTTTGGTCTCAAGCAAAAACAGTCAGAAAAAGTGTAATTAACTTAGACTCACACAGAATCATTAGAGAGTCAAGAATCTGATGCAAGACGTAGAAGGATTGTTCTAGTTTATCAGTCTCTTTTATTCAGAAATGAGGAGCTCTATTGGGTGACTGCCTTCTGTTGAGAACACAGTTATAATTGAACTATCCTTTTAATAATGAATTTTGCTTAGAGTTTTTAAAGACATTTAAAAACATTTAAAAATCCGTGGAAGTTAGTCACATTTATGAAAGTAGCTACTTTAAACCAGTATTCTTTCAGGAGATCTAATCAACCACGCACAGAAATAACCAGGTATTTGACTTCTGTAAGTCTTTGAATTGCTCCCTTCAGGCCATTATTGGCTGAAACCTAGAGATCCATAATGCATGGCCACTTGAGCCAGTCCAATGTGTGGAGAAAGAAGGAAGGGAGGCTGATTAAAGTGACTCAAATATAAGTTATTCAGTATCATGTTTTACCTATCTTCCAAAGCAATAAATAAATTACTCTTTAATTTCTGTTTCCTTATATGAAGTTAATTCTTTTATTCTAACATCTCGGGGCGGGGGGAGGGGGTTGTTAGAATATTTCTAAAGTCTATTTTGGGAAGAAAGGCTTTTGCTGTGTCCAGTACACCTTCTGCAGCCCTATGAGTCTTCCAAACTTGTAGTTTTTCTAGAGCTCTAGATTTTGGTGACTACCTTTTTCTAGGGTCTTTGTGGTTTTGGCCCTCTTTTGATCCCACACTTGGCCTTGACAAAGCCAAGGAGCTAATCGCTCTTATCTTAAATCATTTGAAGCTGTGAATCTGGGGCTGACTTATCTCTTCTATGATTACCATTCCAACTTGCTGCTTTACCAGCTTTAACCTTTAAAAAGTGTTCCCTTTTGTAGCCTCCATTGATTTAACTCTCTGCATTCTGGCAAGCAGCATTACTGCATCAGAAAGGGACAAAGTATTTATGAAAATTTTTATATATAGACAATGTTCCTTGTCATCACACTGAGCACCTAAGTACCAGCTAAAACCTGTCATTGCTTTCCATGTAAAATCTTAAGGTGAAGTGACTATAAATAAAACGTGATAAGTTCTTCTCTCTTTGTATGTGTGCCTGTGCCTTCTCAAAAGGAAAAGGCTGAATTTCATAAACTTCAGTTCAGATAGGCTGAAGACATGCTATTAAGGTGCTAGGATACAGACGTGTTAAACTTTTTCACCCTTCTTTTGTGTTGTGATATATTCTGAGAGTATACTGGAGCATTGTACAATATGGTATTTTTGCAACATCTGTAAAGGGCCCTTTGTCACTGTAGTAGTAGTAGTGTGATTTGTGCTTATGGTTGTCTTACAATACCAATGAGACAAAGTTTAAACTATGTAATTGGAGACAAGAAATCAACTTTTAACCATGAGATCTTTTTCAGATCTGAAATTTGAAGCTATGAATAAGTTGTAATACCTTTGTTGGTCTAACTGAAGCTATTATCTTGCCCTGGAAGGCTTGTCTGACTTGTGCAATAAAGCATGATGAATTCTGTCGCCAGACTTTCAAACTGTCATAGAAGATATAAACACAGTAGTGTAGAAAATGATCTGTATCTCAAACAGAACTCTCTTGCCAGCCTCAAGTCTGAAAAGCATGCTTCAGTAATCACAAATGCCTGGCTATTTAGAATAACATTGTGCAAAGGGTATGTGTTCTCTTCCTCGATCCTGATAGTTTCAAAAGATTGCTTTGTTTGCCATCATATTACTTCTTTAAAGATACACACATAGGGATATTCAGCTCTCCTTCTAATCCATTTTTCAAATCAGTTAAGTTATTCTTGGAAGGATTTTTCAATATTTATCTTTGGTAATCAGTATTTTAGTTGAGAATACAAAATGAAATCTCTTTTGAGATTGTTAGCCTCCAGAAACTACAGCTATATTAAAATCGTGCTTTTGAAGAAGGAAAAATTATCTAGGGATAACTTTCATTCCTTGCAGCTCTAGTTACAGTGAATTCCCACTCCTTAAGAATTTATTTCATCTACCTTTTAGAAACTGCTACTATTCTACTAAAATGGAATGGACTCGTGACTGATGCATTATGTCTAACTCTAGAAATTTTTTTCCATCTTGGAGAATTCTAATTTCTTGCACTAGTTATCACTATAGATTTGAGGATAGAAGCCTTTTAATGATATATCTTGTAAATAATTTATTTCAGTGTTAGAATCATTTTATGTAACATAAATTAAAATAAAGAAAACATATCTAGTAAATGCAGAATGGGACTGTTTCAAGGAAGGCTTTGTTTAAGATTTGAATTCAGTTTTCTCGGTGTTGCTTCCTGCAGTATAATAGCTATGCGCTGTTTATACGTTACAGTGTTTATCTATGGCTACAGCAGCTGAGCATTACAAAGCTACAGGGCTATATACCCCTCTCTCACTGATCTCTGCAGTACACCAAAACGATGTGAGGCAGTTAAGACTCACATTCTATAGGCTTATACCATTCAAGGCCACTTTCTCACAGATGTTATCCTTCATCATCATCACACTAGTAAGGCTTAGAAGCTCCTTTGTACTGCGAGAGATGTATTTCTTAATTTGATTACAGTCTTCCACTTATAAAGCGTTTCTTTGAGGATTTTTTGAGAGTGAGTGTTAAGAATTAAAATTGCGCAATAGAAATAGTGATCCTAGATGCATACGTTTGTAGGACTACCTTATATTTCAAAAGAAGCAGCTTTTGATTTCTTTAGAGATTAGCTAAGTACAGGTTAAAAGTAATTCCATGCCATTGAAGTAATATGTCTTACAAAGGCTGCTGGACAAGGATTCAGAGAGTGACCAAGTAAGGATTGCAAGATATTAAGATTCAGTATCTTTCTACCTTCA